TTAGGGCTGGAAAAAACCTTAGAAATCCTAGGCCTACCCATTCACTTCATAGAAGAGAACTGAGGCCAAGAAAGAAGTAGCCTTCCCAAGGATATATATTTGAACAATTAAAGAACCATACCCTACAACCTATAATCAAATTTGCTGCCCTAAAAAAAGTTTAATGAATATGTCATTTATGTAGTTTGGAATTTAGTGTTGTAGGAATTCCAGGAAGGGAGAAAGAAATGAGACCCAAAAAGACATATAAAGGAAGATACTATCTGCATTCAGAGAAAGAATTGATAGAGGTGTGTATAGAATGATTATACACACACACACACACACACACACACACACACACATTTGTGTCTAATAGTAGCCATCTCTAGGACAGGGGAGAGAAAACAAGGAAAGAAATAATTTTACATGATAATTTTATTGCATAATTAAAATAAATAGCAAGTTGTATGTTATAGATTTGCATTTTCATATGCAATCATCTTTTTTATTGTACTATATTATGGAAATGCTTACTTTATACCACAAAATTAAAAATAAAATAAATTAATAAAGAAAGACTAGGGAGGACTTCATAGGGAAGGTAGGACTTTGAAGGATACTTACGATTTTAATGGACAATAGAGGGTAGTGGAAGGAAGAAAAGATGAATTCACTTGAAAAGAAAAGAAAATTTAATTAGAAAAATAACAAAACATAGTGATCATTACTAATAATGTCCCTGGTCAAGCCATACCTGGAATCGAGGAACAAGTTCTGGGTGCCATGTTTTAAGAAGGACATTGATAAGCTGAAGGAACCAGAAGAAGGATAATGAAAGACCTCTTGATCATGCTAGGATCTTTAGCCTGAAGAAGAGAAGACATGGAGGTAGAAGGAATAAGAAAAGAGTGGAAAGGAACAAGTCAAGTATGTGAAGGCTGTCACTTGGTCAAGGGATTAGACTTATTCTGCTTGGCCCCAGAAAGCAGAACTAAAAGCAATAGGTCAAGATTTAAAAGGGAAAAAAAAAGGCAAATCTAGTAAGTAAAAAGTTCCTTTCCAAAAGTCTCATGATAGAAAATGCTATCCACATCCCAAGAAAGAACTATGGCATTTGAATGCAAATCAAAGTATACTATTTGCCATTTTTTTCTTGTTTTGTTTTGTTTGCTATTTCCTGTGGTTCCTCCTATTGGTTCTAATTCTTACAACATCACTAATGTGAAAATATGTTTAATAGGAATGTATATGTAAAGCCTATATCGGATTGCGTGCCATCTTGGGGAGGGTGGGGGAGAAAAATTTTAAACTCAAAAGCTTATGGAAGTGATTGTTGATAAGTCAAAATAAATTAATACGAAAAAATTTTTAAAAGTTCTTAACAATTAAAACTCCCCCAAAATGAAATGGGCAGCCTCAGGAACTAGCATGTTCCCCCCAGCTAGAGGTCTACTACTTGCCCGACATGCTGTAGAGAGGTTTCCAATTCAAGTACCGGTTGGACTAGGTGACTTCTGAGGCTTTTATTGTTTCCTGAATGTGAAGTAGCTTCATCTAAATGGCATCAGACAAGTCCACAAATGTATAAATGTACAGCTGGGTCTTAGATTCCAGGATTCTGTTTCCTGTAACCAGAGGGATTCTTTAACCCTTTGGTAAAGTGTTGATGGAAATCAAAGAGGATATCCTTTTTGTCATTTCCCCCTAAAACTTGATTTACTTGAAACCCTTCAAGAAGTCTCTATTTCTGATTTCCTGCCATTTTGACAAACAAGAGTGTAACCCAAATGTACATTTGTTCAATATGTTAGGAGAAGGGGGAGGGGAAGGAGGATTTAGAGAGGGCAGAAAAGATAAGCAAATTTAAGTCAATTATTTTAGAATAAATTCTTTAATACCTTTACCAAGTTCTCTTCTAAGCTCTAATCACCTTTGCTCCTAGTGCTGGGAATTTCAATTTACATGTTGATAATGACTTTTTAAAGCACCGCTGTTAACAAAGGGAAATGCTTGTGAAGAGAAATGGGCCTCTTAACAGAATTCATTCTGCGCCTGGCAATCCACAGACCCTGAGATACGAGTAAAGGTTTTAAAATGAACTCCCGGAAAAGGCATGAATCAGGGGAAGAAATGAATTTCCAAGTGGGTAGGGAAAGGAAAATTCTAATGTATAATTTACTTCATATGAGCCAGTCTTCTGACCTACCTCTTCCTATCTGTCTGCATTTCCATGATGCTTATCATCACAGCACCAAAACCATTAGACAGGGGATATTAGACCAGCAGAAAGATGTTAAATAAATGATACTTCTGTGAACCTAATGAAATGTACTTCACATACCACAAGGGCCCTCAGAGAGAAGAAATACCAGTTAACATGATGATTTATACACACCCTGAAGTTAAGGAGCATATCAGATTCTTTTAGTGCTGGCTAAAATCACTTAATTCCATATGTATAAAATCTTGGTTAATAATAACAACTGGCATTTATATATCAATTTAAAGTTGGCAAAGCACTCAACAGACATCTTATTTCAGCCTTACAACAACACTGTGAGTAAATACTAGTGGTATTATTATTCCCATTTTACAGATGAGGAAACTGAGGTAAAGTGATTTGCCCAGGGTCACCAACCTACTAAAGTGTCAGAAATGAGATGACTGCAAGTGTGAGAGTCTATCCCCTATACCAGTGGTGTCAAATTCAAATAGAAACAAGGCTACTAAATTATATGTAAGGATCCTTGTGGAAGCCTATTGACCTAGGAAACCACATATTAACATTATCTGTGTTCTATTGTATTTTATTTTATTAAACATTTTCCAATTACATTTGTATCTGATTGGGCTGCATCATGTGTTCATCATCTCTTTTCTACCCTATGTTCTCTGCGTAAACTCCCCCTACCTTCATATAGAAGGTAGCAGGGACTATCCAGAAGGCAATTATATATGAACAAATTCTGGGCCCCCAAAGAGAGGCCCCTTTCCTATTAGTGGAATATAAGCAGATCACAAAAACAAAATCATTCTAAATCCACCCTACCTAGCTCCATATCCCATAGCTAGACTGGAATGCCCATCAGCTCTACCTGGCCAAGCTCCTGGTGACACTTCCTCCATGAAGCCATCCCAACCAATAGCAACACCCTCCTCCAGCTGAATGTGATCTCTTCTTCATCATATATTTTATATTACTTTGTCTGGGTCTTTACTTTGAACTTACCATATTCTCATTAATATCATGGTAACATGTTATTTTCACCCTCTCCATATAAGATTCTAAAATCCTGATAGCAAGGTCTGTGCAATGCCTATCTTTGTACTGATATCCCAACCTCTAGCACAACTCTGTTTGCCCCAGTTTTCTCATCTGTAAAATGAACTAGAGAAAGAAATGGCAAACCACTCCAGTATCTTTGTCAAGAAAACACCAAATCGGGTAATGAAGAGTCAGGCATAACTGAAGCAGGTGAACAACAACAATGGTGGCACAATATAACATTTTTTCTTTTTAAAAAATCATTTATTTAGTTTTTTTTAATTTTGAATTCCAAATTCTCTCCCTCCAGCCTATCACCTATTAAGAAGGAAGGCAATATGATATGAATTATATATGCAAAACCAGGCAAAATATATTTCTATATTAGCCATGTTGCCAAAAAAAAAGCAAGAAAAAAAAAGAAAAAATTATTCTTCAATTTGTACTCAGAGTTTATCAGTTCTGTCTCTGAAGATGGATAGCATTTTCCATCATCAGTCCTTTGGGATTGTCTAGGATCATTATATTAATCAAAGTAGCTAAGTATCATTGTTCCAATATTGTTATTATTGTGTACAATGTTTCCCTGATTCTGATCATTTCACTTTGCATTAACTCATATAAATCTCCCTAGGTTTTTCTGAAATTATCCTGCTCATCATTTCTTATACCACAGTAATTTTCTATCACAAATATATACCACAACTTGTTCAGCCATTCCCCAATTGATGGATATCCCCTCAATTTCCTATTCTTTGCCACCACAGAAAGAGCTGCTATAAATATTTTTGTATATATAAAGTCCTTTTCCTTTTTCTTTCATTTTTTTGGGGATACAGAACTAGGAGTGATACTGCTGAATCAAAGGGTATGCTCAACTTATAGCCCCTTGGGCATAGTTCCAAATTGTTCTCCAGAATGTTGAGACTAGTTCACAACTCTACCAACAGTGTATTAGTGTTTCTATTTTTCCATATTCCCTCAAGAATTTGTCACTTTCCTTTTCTGTCCTATTAGCCGATCTGATTGGAGGTGAGGTGATACCTTGGAGTTTTAATTTGCCTTTCTCTAATCAATAATGATTCAGAGCATTTTTATATGACTATTCATACTTTTGATTTCTTCTGAAAACTTCCTGTTCATATCTTTTGACCATTTGTCACTTTTGACCAATTTAATGGCTTAAATTCTTATAAATTTGGCTCGGTTTTCTATATGTTTGAGAAATGAGTCCTTTATCAAAGAAACTTGCTTTAAATGTTTTTCTCTAGTTTTCTGTTTTCTTTCTCATTTTGGCTGCATTCGGTTTTGTTTGTTTTCCATGTAATCAAAATCATCCATTTTTACTGCCTGTTACCCTCTTTGTCTCTTAGTTGGTCATAAGCTCTTTCTTTATCCATTGATCTGATAGGTAAACTTCTGTATACTCCTTTAACTTGTTCATGATATCATCCTTTATGTATAAATCATGTACCCATTTTTGACCTTATGTTGGTAAACATTGTGAGATGTTGATCTATGCCTAGTTTCTGCCAAACCATTTTGCAATTTTTCCAGCAATTTTTGTCAAACAGTGAGTTCTTAGATATCTGGATTTATCAAACACAAGATTATTATGATCATTTATGACTGTATACTGTGTAACTAATCTATTCCACTGATCCATCATTCTATTTTTTAGTGAGTACCAACCAGATTGTTTTGATAATTACGTCTTTGTAATATAGTTTGAAATCTGGTACTGCTAGGTCAAAAAAATATGGGATGCTTCATGAATGTATGTGTCATCCTTACACAGAGGTCATGCTAATCTTCTCTGTATCATTCAGTTTTAGTATGTATACTGCTGAAGCAAATATACATAATAAAATATTGAATGTTTGTAAATTGAAACAAATTGAATTTCCTGAGCCCTCAAATAGGAACTTACTTTATCTATTGCCTCTTCATACAGTTATTCAACACTAAGGAAATAATAATAATAACTAATATTTATATAACACTTTAAGACTTGGAAAGCATTTTACAGTATAATCTCATTAGATTATCAGAACAGCCCTCTGTAGCAGGTGCTACTGTTATTATCCCCCATTTTTCACATGAGGAAACAGAACCTGAGACAGGTTGAGTGACTTGTCCAGGGTCACATAGCTAATAAGGATATGAGGCTGGATTTGAACTTAATTTCTTCTGATTCCAAGTTCTAGAATCTCTCCATATTACTAACTAATCCCTCTAGGAAATCCCAGTGAAGACTCAGAACTGTCCACAGCTGAAACTCATTCAGCTTAATAAGGAGGGTGTGGTTGAAGATCACAAGGTAGGACTTAAAAGGAAGCAGTTAGCAGGTAGATATCTATAATAGCTAACATTTATATAGCATTTACTATGTGCCAGGCACTGGGCTAAGTCCTTTAAAATTACTATCTCGTTTGATCCTCACAACAATCCTTGGGAGGTAGGCATTATTTTACATATGAGGAAACTGAGGCAAACAGTTTAAGTGAATAGCCCAGGTTTAAACAACTAGTAAGTACCTGAGGCTAAATTTGAACTCTGGTCTTCCTGACTCCAGGCCCAGAGCTCCTTCCACTGCACCACCTAGCTACCTCTAAGTTAATTGAACTACCTCAGCATTCTCAGGAGGTTCAAATAAGACATCTGGTAAGCACTTTGCCAACTTTGATATGATACACTCTTTGCTCAAGCTCAAACCTTGTTCAACACCTGGTTTCTTCACACCCAAGCCTGACCTCAGGGCCTGCTTGACCTTTGGATCTAATTAATATCTCCTTGAAGACCCATGTTTCTGGTAATCCCCAAACTCTCCTGATTTGAGTCTCTATTAATTTTGTATTTTGTGTTTATTATGCCAATAGTTATCCTTCCTGTTTTTGATTTTGACTTGACTCTTACTTCTAGTACCTGAAAACTGAGACTTTATTGCCAAAAATTCTCCCACCAACATGAACCCAACACTATGAGCACCATGCCAAGTCAGACCTCGGCCAGCATGTAGGAGGATTCACAGCCACCAACTCCCAGCATAAACCCATTCCTTAAAAAAGAAGACAATTTGATCACTAGCATTATTTTAGGAGAGTAAAATACAATATTATTCAATCTGACAAATATTCATTAAGTGTTTATTGGGTTCAATAGGCATAGAGGCATGAGAGGCAGGAGGGTGTAATGGCTAAGGCAGGGATGGTGAATCTTTGGCCTCGAGGGCACATGTGGCCCTCTAGGTCCTCAAGTGCAGCCCTTCAAATCCCATTTGTTCTGTGAAGTTTGGATTCAGTCAAAGGGCCAAACTTGAGGACCTAGCGGGCCACATGAGGCTTTTGAAGCTGAAGATTCCCTACCCCCCCCCCAGGGGTTGGGAGATGTCCATGGAGTCAGAAGGGCCTTAGATAAAGTCCCAGCTCAAATACTTCCTAGCTTTGTTAGCCTAGACAAGTCACATAAGTACTCAGTTCCCCAAAGCAACTAGTTAAGATGAATTTTTTTAAAAAGGTTCTAATCTGCTTGGGTAGAGGAAGTTTCCTCTCTACCAGGCACTCTCTTTGCCAATGAAATCATGAATCTAGTACCACTGGTATAAAGGTAAGAACTGATTATCTGTGTCTCCATTTGTCAACTCTCATTTAGATTTCTAGTATCAGAGAGAAAATTTACCTTTGAATTTCAAAAGCATTTATTGAGGACTGCACCCAAATATATATGTGTATATGTACATATGCTCTTCCCACTGGGCTACACACAACTTAAAGGCAGGTTCCCCTGCTGATAGCTAATCCAGGTCCAAGGTGCTTTATGAGTCCACCTTCTTACATCTTTAGAGACAAAATCACAAGAACAGCTAATTAATGCTGTGGATAGAGAGCTGGTCTTGGATTCAAGAAGACCTGAATTCAAATACAACTTCAGACATTTACTATCTACATGACCATAGGCAAGTAAGTCACTTAACCTCTATCTGCCTCAGTTTACTCATATGTAAAATGGAGAAAATAATAGCATCTACCTTAGAGTTTTGTTGTAAGGATAGAATGAGATGATATTTGTAAAGCACTTTGCAAATCTTAAAGTGCTATGTAAATGCTATCTATTATTGTTGTTGTTATTAATTTTAGCATTCCAAGCTCTGTGCCAGATATGATGGTCACTGCGAGTCCTACCTCTTTTTAAAGTGCTTTCAAATTAAGAAGGTCCTACTCTCTTAGCAGTGGAAATCTGCTTAATCAATCTAGCTTACATGCACATCACATGCATATCTTTTTCAAGATACATTATTCTGTCTGGAGCTAAAGAAGAACTCATATTTTAATGTACCCATTCCAAATAGTAAGTAGTGTTATGCTATCAATAATTACAATATTAACAGTCTCTTATCAATAATTAGGGGCAGCTAGGTGGTGCAGTGGATAGAATGCCAGACCTGGAGTCAGGAAAACTCATCTTCTTGAGTTCAAATATGGCCTCAGATACTTGCTAGCTGTGTGATCCTGGACAAGTCACTTAACACTGTTTGCCTCAATTTCCTCACCTCTAAAATGAGCCGGAGAAGGAAATGGTAAACCATTACAGTATCTTTGCCAAGAAAATCCCAAATGGTGTCACAAAGAGTCAGACATGACTGAAAAAATGACTGAACAGCAACATTAACTTGACTGGTTTTATTTACTTCAAAAATCAAACTTAAGCACAAATACAAAAGCCAGTGACCTAGTTCCCAGAAATCCTGCTTCCCTAAGTACCGTGGGCTAAGTCTCCTGAGTTTCACTCAGGGAATCATAATGTTGGCCTAATGAACAATAATAATAACTCACATTTACATTTTACAAAATGCTTTCTTCCCAACAACCCATTTTATAGATGTAGACATTCAAGCTCAGTAATTTGCTGCCATTCACACAGTGTCAGAGCCAGGGCACAAACCCAGATCCTTCCATTCCAAGTTCCGTGCTCTGTGTGTCCATTACATCCCTCTGCCTGGCAAAATTGGCCAGCGGCAGAACTACAGTGCAAGACAGACACATCCCTAGACTAGAAGCCAAGCAGAAGCAAAATACATTCCCTGGCTTATTGCATGACCTTGGGCAAAGCACTTAGCCAATCTGTGCCTAAGTTTCTCCATCTGTAAAATGGGGTTAATAATAGTTCTCACCAGGTACTGCTTGTCAGGTCCTTTGATGTAAGTTTCCAAAGACAAAGGACTGCCATAATTATTCCGGTTGCAGTAATGATGAGAGCAATGAAGCCTAAATTATTTTACTTGAGTTGTCAGACCCCAGTTTCCGGCTGTTACCGGTGAATCACATAAGCAAATAAGCAGCCATTGCCAGAAGCCTAAGATCCCAAATAAGGAACCTTCTTTGTTCTTGGAAGAGATTTCTCCTATACAGGCAGTGTGGGGTAGTGAAAATAAATAGCCCTGAATTTGACGTTGGAATATGGGTTCAGCGTCAATGCTTCCTCACCAAGTTGCCCAACCAGTCTTAATGTAAGTTTCCTTATTGATAAAAAGGGAAAAATAACCCCTGCCCTACCTACCATGCAGAACTTTTGTAAAGATCAGATCAGAAAACATATGCAGACACTCCACAAATACAACACATTATGTGAATGTCATCTAGTGTGATTTCTTCAGTACCCTAGCCAGCACAGATCAGGAGGACTTTGACATTTCATTTCAACAGAGTTTTACAGAATCACCCATCACAGTTTGAAAGGGATTTCAGAAGTGAGTTAGTCTAACCTACAGTTGAATAAGAATGCCTTCTAGGACAAGAGCAATCATCCAGCTTCCTCTTTTTTTTCCAGCTTCCTCTTGAGGACCTCTCATGAGGGAGAACCCCATAGCCTCCCAAAATGTCCCATTCCATTTTGGGATATTATAAATTTTTCTTTGGATAAACACACACCTGCTTCTTGGCAAATTTCATCCATTGTTTCTCTACTGTCCCCTAGGGACAAGAAGAACAAGTTTAATCACTCTTCCACATAACATGCCTTAAAATGCTTTATTAAGTACCCATACCAAGCATTAGGGATACAACAATAAATAGGATGGTCCTGCTCAGGAGGACCTTTAAATGTCCTTCTTGTCTCTAATGGAGATGACAAGTACCAAATTAACAATGGAGAGAGAGAGACAGACAGACAGAGAGAGACAGGGAGGAACTACACTAGGAGAAGTCCAGATAACAAGCTAATAAGAAACTTCAAGAGGGAAGGAGCTGACTTTCACCTAGAGAGTAGCAGACATTGAATAAAGTAAGACTTCAAAGAAGGAGAAGGATTGTAGAACCTACTGTGTGCTAGGTACTGCGCTAAGTGCTTTTTACAAATATCACCTCATTATTGCAGGGAAAGTATTACTAATCCCATTTTATAGTTGATGGAAACTGAGGCAAGCAGAGGTTAAGTGACTTGCCCAGGGTCACACAGCTAGTGGGTGTCTGAGGCTAGATTTGAACTCAAGTCTCCATCACTCCAGGTCTAGTACTTTCTCCATTCTATCACTAGTTGCTTCTATCTAAGGAAAGAGGTGGCATTTGAGTTGGACCTTGAAGAAATATCAATAGAGAAGAGTGAAAGAAAGGATGAAAGTAGCCTGACATGAGGGACAAGCTGCAGAGGGAAGGATGAGAACAGGGATGGATAAGTGAGCCTGAAAAGTCACAAGTGAAAAGTTCACTGTGCATGAGCCAACATTACCCTGAACAGAACAGAAGTTAATCAGCTCAAAGTAGCAAAATGGGCAGGTTTAACCAGATGGAAGGGAAATTTGCCTAAGCATTGGATTGGTCCAAAGTGGAATAAGTTGCCTTAGAAAGTAAGCCTTTAGGTCTTC